AGCAGTGTGCAATTAAAAATCACAAGAAGAGCTACGGAGAGTAAAGGTCACAGGAAAAGAGGGCAAGAAGGATGGTGATGGGGAATGAAGATGTGGTCATTGTGGGAGGCTGAGGAGAATCCCTATAAAAGGAGGGCTTGAGTTGGACCTTACAAAATGTGTAGGTTGATAGGTAGAAAAAGGACATTCTGGGCGTGCAAGAATTGTTGACCAACCAAAGATGAAAAGAAACCTTTACGTTTCAAAGATTGATAAGAACCCCTCCTGCTGAGGAAGGAGGACCCAGGTTGGGGAATAGTAGGAGGTGAGAATGGCTTCACAGTGGGTCGGACACATGAAGAACTTTGCTCCCTGTAACAGTGGAGGCTCCCCTGGAACATCGCACGAGGAATATGGTAAGAAGGAATTAAAACTGCCAACTGAAGGGAGAACCAAGGGCAGGCTGACCAGTGTAGGAAGCCAGGGAGACCATGGGCAGCAGCAAGAGCAATGAGCATCTCCTTTCTTCAAGGGTTACAATGAAACAGACGAGTTCAGATTTGATCTTGGTTTCCAGTCTTGTAATGGTGTGAACAGTAGAGCTGAGTTTAAGGTCAGAGTGGGGCACCAAGTGAAATCAACTTATAAAAGGTTGGGAGGGGGGTGCACTCAAGCCAAATTTAGACAAAATGCAATTGCAAGTAGACTTATGGATCTGAAGAATTACTGCCAGCTAGCTGCACAGTTTCTGTCTAATATTTCAATAATCTCGCAGTCATGTGATTGAATTTCCTTGACATTATTTATAGGATCACTCTCCTTCCTCTTTAACAGACAGATCCAACCAAAACATGTAAGTAAAATAATGCAAACTGTGGTCTTAGTGGCCTAAAGGAAAATATTGCAATTTTCGAAGAACCTAATGTCCATCCCAGGGGAATATGGCTCATTGATGCATTTATTACTTTGTGCAGACAGCATGACCTGTTACCTACTTAATGTGGGGAAAAACACTCAGTGCCAGCACACATAGATGCCTACCTGTCACCAAATTCTAAATCTATGTGATCTCAAACTTTAGTGCCTATTAATCTAGAATTTTTTGTTATAATACAGATTCGCTGTTTCTGTTAGAGCGCTAAAATCTGCATTATTAACAAGTCCCCCAGGTGATCGTGTTGTAAAAAAAATTATTCTTTGGAAAAGTTAACTCCCAGCTGTTAGGCTCCCTCAACCAGCATGCCTTGCCTCTTTTAGGTGTCCAATAAATTGTATTTTATTGAATCAATGTGTTCTCAGCCTTTACAGCCTTAAAGCCCATATTATAACTTCTTGGATACCTAAATATATCAAGCCTTCCCATGAAAAACAATTTTTTTTAGTTATCCTACGTAACAGAATAGCCAGTTGCTATACAAATACGCTTGACTTGAAGTCAACAATTCTGGGACTTTTCTCTACTTTCTGGACAAGTCATTAGCCCCAATCAAAACAATTATCTTTCTTAATTTTTTTTTCCATTTACTACACTAGGACATTATATACAATATGTCTCCATGGAGTGGAAGTAAGTTCTGTAGATAGTTTTTTAATTCTTGCTGGCCTTTTGATTTTTGCTGGTCCTTTAGTATAATTGTGACATGTTTACTGACTTATTAATTTACTACATGAATTTAAAATAAAAATCTGCCAACTTAAATAACATGACTTTCAATACAAAATAAGTGACTTTCAATACAAAAATGTTTAACCCAGATATCATCAAAAACTTCAAAAATAAACACCTCTGAAAAATTTATAAAAATTTCATATGAAGGCTTTGCTTTAAAGTCTGCTAATATAAATAAATAAATAAAACAAGTAATTCACAAATAACTTTTCATATCGTGTCCTAGGCTTCAAACTACATTTTCTTTTAAAGATATTTAACTAACTCTTTGCTTACTTATGGGGTTTTTTTTTCCTTCTATCCAAAGCATTTTAATCAGAGATAGTTGTCAATTCTCTAAACATATGTTAAAACCGTCAAAATTAATTATTTAAATAATCTTTATCCAGAACTTTACAAAGTCCAATTTAGTCTGCAGAGTGACTTGCAAGAAAATAATGTTAGTCTGATATTTTAGAAGCGTAATTATTACGCAGGTACTCTCTCCTACCACTGGATAGTAACTTTCTTAAATACTGAACAATGTATGTAAACATTAGGGAATAGAAATCCATCTAAATTGTACATCCTATAAATGTCCCAACATCCGTGCCCATTTATAAGCTTAATATCTCTTCAGGCATCTTCTCTGAGTAGCTACTTCATATTTTTAGTTGAATCCATACCCATCAAGCAGATATTAAAGAACATTGATGGTTAAGTAAGTATATATCCCAGACATTAAAATTCTTATGGTCGGTAAAGAAAATATAATACTTTAAGAGATTTTTAAAAGTAGTGATGTCCTGATGTCTTTTTTCTCCAAACATTAGACGAAGTTGCATTGTTTACAAAAATTTATTCATACAAATTTCACACACTTCATATAACAGTTATCAAAGACCTAATTATAGATAGCATGTGTGTAATACTTGGTTAAGATGTTTTTATAATCATTTGCACACAAAATAAAAGCTTCAAGACTAACATCTACCTAAATTTTCACTATATCATAAATCTGCGTTAGGTTAGTAAGGCTCTTGGCATTGCTAAAAAGTATACAAAAGATTAAACTGGATGATCACTGTAAATGCTTGCAACTCGCCACAGAAACACTAAATTAGACTTCATAAATTAAAAGGTTAACTAGAGCCCTATTTCACCACTAACAGCTGACACAAATGCAGAAAATTCTGCCCATTATCCAAGAAACAAATAAGACTAAAATGCAAGCCGATGTGTTGCAGCATTGTAGGGCTACTAAATAGCCATCTGTGATTCGTGGCGATTTAAAAGGCAAAGAAAGGCACTACAGCTGCAAACTACGTCCCAGGTCACATTGCCCGAGGAGACTGCAGAATTAAAGAAAGATTGATCCCATACACAGGGCTCAGGCATAGATCGAATGCCTCTGTGCTTTCACTGTCTGCAATGTGATCTCCTGGCAGCATCCATCCCGCCTGGGAATGCAAATTCAATTCTGTTTTCTTTGATTTATGACTTCATACCGATCGAATCCGTAAAGGAAAAAAGGAAAGGTCCTTTAAACTTTACAAGCTAATGTTTAATCTTTTCTTGTTCTTCTTCTTCTTCTTTCTTCCTTTTCAACAGAATCTGTGCCTGAAAACTGGGAGTTTGTTTTGCGTGCTGTTGCTTGATCTGGTTGTTGGGTGAAGGTTCTTTTGTTATTAGAGATTACTTGGTATGTTCAAGAAATTGAGAGGAATCAGACAGACATGCTTTCTGTCGCCAAGAAAGGATACACAGGGAAGTTCTCAGGGTCTGTTGGAGCTTGTTTACCTTACTCTTGATCACAAATACAAGATAATACTCATACATAAGATGAGGTTTAAAGGATTTATCAGTTAGTAAAACTGAGCAACATGTGAACACTACACATTCTAATATGACAAAGGTTGGTTTATGAAATAACTTTTACTAAGCAATAAGCCATGATGTAGAAAAATACATTTTACCTACAAACACAAGAAACAAGAAACAAAAGGTTCATATTTAGTGCATAATTACTTAGTGATAACTACACAGGGTTTCCTAAACTTTACAATAAGCACTTGCATCAAACAACGACAAAAGTAAGACACATTCACAAGTTTAAGAGAAGTGAATGAAAATGGTAACCAGTATTTAAACAGTGCAAGAGGGTAGGAAGGCAGAGTCTTCAGGAAAAAAAACAAAAAACAAAACAAAACAAAAAACCAGAAACACCAAAGAAAAGGGTGGCTCCTACGGAGCAGAGTTCACAGGGGAGAATCCTGGCCATTTCACAAGATGAGAAGCATGGACAGCACTGGAGAAAAACACATTGTACTTTGCACCCGTTTCAAACACCCAGCACCCAGTCAGTCAGGCTGGGGACCTCAGGTGGGGACTTGGCTTAACCCCACCATCCCAGATCTGGGGCAGCCCCAAAAGAGTCCCTCTCCGGGGTCCTCCTCCTGCTGCCTTAGGCTCTGCCTCTTCCAGTATACCTGCATTTCTTCCACTTGGTTCCAATTGCCCTAACCTTGGGATAGTGGGTTTCCTGGAAGTACAGAAAAGGGAGCTCCTACTCAAGTCTCCCTTCTCTGTATAATCTCCCAACTCTTGCCCCCAGGAAATGGTGTCAATTCTGGGGAGAAGCACAATTTAGATAGAGCTGTTGTTTTATCGGGAGAATTTTCTTGTGGGCTGAGAGTCTAAGGAGAGACGAATACACATAAAAGGAGAATCAAAGAAAGCAGGAGTATTAGAATTGTCACCCAGCGAGGGGGACAGTGCCCAGTTGAGTTGGGCTGGGATTGTAGCAGCCTGCCCCAGAGACTCGCTGGGAGAGAATGCCCTACAGCAATTCTCCCAAATCATGCCCTCAAAATCTCCCTGAAGCAGGGCGTCTTTGTTTATATACAGTAGCAAATGGTCAGTATTAACATCTTCAGGCCTGTGGTGGATAAAAATACTATCCTTTTAATTCCAGTTTACAAAAATAGGAGTAATATTTAAAACAATGATTGTCTATTTTTCTATCTATTTTATATATAAATACATAAACAGCTCAGGTGAATTTTTCAATCCTGGTGCACATTTTTATGAACTGCTCTCTATTATACTTATATATATATATATATTCTTAAATATATATATTTATAATATATATATCAATAATTGGTCCACAAAGTATATCTGTGCATTCTCTAGTGCTTTGTAAAAAGAAAAAACAATATTATTATCAAAATATTCATTTAATGGCTTTACTTCATACATAAATACATGTTTGGATAGAACACATGAGCGATGACTGTTCCAGTTTGTAAGGAAAATGACTTTTCACTGTGTCAGGGTTGTATACACAAGGTAGCCGGTAAACTCATCGCTGCTACAAATACGTTATTCGGCGTCCTTTGTTTTTAACTCTTTGTTTATACCTTTTCCCTAGGACGGCGGCCAAGTATTTCTTGACAGCCATTTGTTTCCTGTAGCGGCTGTAGCTGTCCGTGAAGATTCCGTCTGAGTGGCGCTTGGAGAGCGGATCCGAGTCGTCTTTGGCGTTGCCGCTTCGAATGCCACTGCAAGGAGAGGGGTCGGGAAAGGGTGGCAGGCGGAGCGGGAGACACAGGTTCAATAGCTGCAAGGAGCAGGCGGGCCCCACCCCACGAGGGAGCCTGCAGAGGGGCACGGGGGTCTTACTACCCTCTGCCAGGCCTTCCTCTGCCAGGAACGGGCCGGAGGGGAGGAGAGCTGCCACAGAAACCTGCATTTTCCCTCCCCGCCCAGGACTTCCTGGCACCACTCGCTTAGGAAAGAGGCCCCTTATGAGGTCCCGGCCAAATGCACACAATTCAAGCCTAACCTCTGTCCGTGCGATATGACCATCCCGTCCATGCGATTGCGCTGAATTGTCCTAATAGGAAATAACAAAAGAGCGGAGTTTTACATCCATCCCGTTATTGCTACCTGGTCAGACACAAGCACTCCCCTTCCGCACGCTACGTTGCAAAAAACGTGATAATAATACAAGTCGACAGGCTGTGCGCAATATTTTTTCATCCCATGAATTATTTATTACGAAAAATGTAATCTGTTCTCCCACGGGCTTTATTAAAACGCTGCCTTCTGCTGAGAGGGGCTCCCCGCACCCTGGGTAGGTCTGGCACAAGCAAAAGCGGGTTCCCTGGGTGTCCAGAGTGGAGGGTTTGCTGGCTTCCATTTGAATTTACAACAAAATAATCTTTTAAGTCAAACTTAGAGGAAATGATAGCAAATCATCCCGCGATGCTTGAAGGTATTGAATGACTGAGGGGGAGACTATTTGGTTTGTCTCTTTTTTTTTTTTTTTTTAATTCAAAACGGATCCAACTCCCCGGTTCTTCTGTCCTCTGCTTTTCTCTGCTGGGTCCCCCAGCTCTCCCGCCAAACTTCAGGAACCGCCCCAGTAATCTTGGCAGAAGGCTCGGGGCTGGCCCCCCGCAGTCCCCGCAGACCCCGCGGCTCAGGCCCACCCTCGGCCCCACGTGCACGCAGGACGCAGGCCCCGCCCACCCCGCGCCCGCGCGCCCAGCCCCGCCCACCTCGGCGCGCGCGCGCCCCCTCGCGCCCGTTAACTCTTTCGCCGACACTCACCCCACGCCCTGGGCCACGAGCTTCTGCAGCAGTTTCTTGCGGGACAGCTGGTCCAGCACTTTGCGGTAGGCCTTGTGCAGGATCGCGTGGGCGAAGTCCCTAAAGGGGAGGCAACGTGCGCGCCCGGGGTCATCGCCTCTGTCCCCCAGGAGCTACCCAGCTCCCCGATCCGCCCCCAACCCCCTGCATGGCATCCTCTCTAGTTGGCGCTCCTGGAAGCTGCCGGGGAACCCCCAGGGGCCTAGAACTCCCCAATAACTCTCTTGGGGCGCCCCAGGAACGGAAGTTCCTCCTGCCCTCCTGCCCCAGGTGGCCGGTGTGAGTCTGGACCCCTCGCGCATTCACTGCCACCCCTTGACCACAGACTTTCCGCGACTCACTTTCTGCCGCTGTCCTTAAGAACCCGGGAGGAGGTAGCCTTGGGGACTTTTGTGAAAAAGAACCCACCAGCACCTGCCCCTCCCACAGCCCCCGCCCCGGGTGCGGAGGCCGCGGTCAGTACCTCATCTCCCCCGGGGGGCTGGGCGCGTGGGCCTCGCGGGGCCCGGAGGCGGGTCTCTCCACGCGGGGCGGCTCCCAGTCGTAGAAGTTTTGCAGCTGGTTTCCGTCCTCGTCGTATGCCTCCTCCTCCGACCTGCGGGGACAGCCCGGGGCAGAAGGAGGGCTCAGGACCGGTGCCTCCTTAGGCTCTGCGGGAACCCCCCCCCCAAAAAAAAGGGGGGGGGTTCTCTCTGACTTTACTTCCTCCCAAAAGGTCTCCCACAAAGAACTGCCTCTTCTTCCCGGACAGGGGCCGAGGGAGAGGAAGGAGGAGGAGGAAAACTACATCCAAGTGAAGGCCCCGCCCCGCGAGGAGGCTCCCCCAATCCTCCCGGTGCGGGTGAAGGGTCGCCCCGCAGGGCCGCAGCCACCGGGGACGGGGAGGCGGGTGCGTGTCCGCGGGCCGCGCACCTGGTCTGGGGGAAGGACGCCCCGCGGCCCGCCCTCCGCCCGGGGCCTGGGCCTGCGGACCCGCAGCAAAGGGCGAGTCCGAGGAAGATCCCGGGAGACCAGGCGCCCCGGCCCAGGAGCAAGACAGGGGGGGTGGGGTGCGCAGCGGCCCCGACTCCGCAGCCGCCCCACCCGGCCTCTCCGCCCCGATGTAGGTCACGGAGAACCTCGGCTGCTATTCTGGGCCGGAGAGGCTCCGGCAGGAACACGCGTGCTCGGCGCCGCTAAACTTGGTTTGGCGGCGGCTCCTTCGGCGGCAGGTCCGTGCCCTCCCCCGTGGCCTCTCGCCCGGGGAAAGGGCCTTTGAAAATAGCTGGGGGAGAGGGGTGTGAAATAGGGCTTTTTAAGTCTACGGGGGAGAGGGGGGAGAGAGAGAGAGAGAGAGAGAATGTTCCCGCTAATCTGTTACGATGGCGAGGCGACGGGACCGCATCGCAGCCTTGGGGCTGGGAAAATGGGCAGCAGCGGACCGACCGAGAGCCGATCGGGGAGCGGCGGCCTCGGCGGAAACCCCTGCCTACGGCCCCCAGGTTGATGATACAGGACGGGGCGGGGGGCTGGAAACACAAACACTCCTCACTTCGGGCCGCTGGAGAGACTCGGGAATCGGCCCCGGACTGGTCTGGCTCCCCGGGAGGGTGGAAGTCACGCTTCGTAACCCCGCACCCGCTCCCTCCATCCCTGGAGGGGTGAGGGCGAAGCCAGCACACACACCCCTTTGCCTGCCGGCCTGGCGCCCGGCCGTCCTCGGCCCTGACCCGCTGGCCACCGTCACCCTCCCCTGGGCCCAGAAGCTGGAGGCAGAGACCCAGCTCTCGGGCCAGACCGCCGGGCGGCGGCCCCGGCGCTTCGGGGCGCGGCTCGGAGAACCAGCTTTGCCGGCGGAACTCGCGCCCCCGGCCGCCGGGAGCTGCAAAGCGAGCTTCCACTCCCCGGCGGCCCGCGGGTGTTCTAGGGCTGGGAGGGGGAACCCGGCTGATGAAGGGGGATATGGGGGGGGGGTGAGGGGGAGCCAGGCGGGCCCCTGTGCAGACGCCGCCTGCCTGCTCGCTTCCTCTCCCGCTCCCTGCATCCGTTGCACCTGTTTCTCTCCTCCCTCTCGGACTCACTCCCGTTCTTCCATTCTTGTCCTATCGCTTTTCCTCAACCTTACCCAGCCGACACTCCCCTTCCTCAAGACAGGCTGAGGCGCGAAAGGCAGTCGGGGAAGAAAAAAAAATCACTTGGAAGAAAGCTCTTCCAGGAGAAAGAAAGAAAGAAAGAATCGGAAATAGGTGAGAGGGACCCCTCGGCGCCAGCGCGGCACCGGCCGTAACAAAGCAACATCCCCGGCGCCCCACGCTCCACCTTGCAGCCCGGCTGGGGAGCCGAGGTTCGCCTCACTCCAGCGGAGAAGGGGGGGGGGGGGGAGTCCAGCTCCAGGCCATGCCCTGCCCCCTCCCGCGGGCGGGGCCGGGGTGGGTAGGTCTCTCCGGGCGGAGGCAGCGCTCGGTCCCCCGGGCCCCTCGGCCGCCCGGCGCTGGGGGAGGGGCGCCCGCCGGAGGGGAGTCCGCCGGGTCCTGCAGCTCAGCCGGGGCCCGGGGCCCGCTGGCTGCCGGGGGCTCCCCGGGGCGCCGGGGGAGACGGTCGTGAGCAAGGGACCGGGGCCGGGACCAAGGAAATGCAGGAGGACTTGCGAGGAGGTGTTGAGGGAAGAGAAGCCGTGCCTCGGTTCGTCCGGGCGGCCAGCACCTACCTGATCCCGGGGAACGGGAGTCCGGTGGCGTCCGGGGAGCAGGACACGCTGCTGTGCATGATGATCCCGTAGACCAGCAGGGCCAGCCTGGTTCCGCCACCCATGGCCATTCTGTGCGGGACGGGGGAGAGGGCGCCGCGGTCAGAATGCCCCCCGCCGGCCCGCCCCGCTCCCCTCCCCTCCCGCCCCAAGAACTCCCGGAGCTGGGGGGTCCCGAGCGAAAGCTCCGGGTTTGAGGACCCCTCAGTGACAGCCCGAGCTCGCCCTGCCGCCACTTCCTTCTCTCTACGGGTAGATCTATGCCAGACCTGGCGCGGAGGAAAAGGAACTAGTTCCCTCATGCCGGCAAAAAAAATAATAAATAAAAGAGGCAGCAGTCCCGTGAGCCGTTTGGGTTGGAAAGACTCCCTCCCCCTCCCCCCGTTGCCATTCAGTTCTTACCGCCGCCAGGAAGGGTTTGCTGCCAAGTAGGACGGTTTAGCCCAGCGATCCTCCAAGTTTCTGCGCTGGAGTCACAGCCCCAGGGGCATCGCCCTCCGGTGTCGGCGTCTGGGGGACGAGCGGGAGCGGCAGGAGGAGCTGGAGGACTTGTTTGCTGCGTGCGCCCAGGCTTCTGTGCAAAAGTTTGGAGACGCACAGAACTAGGAGGGAGCGTGACAGCCGCCGAGGGAATGAATGAATGGGGCGAGGAGAGGGAGGCAGAAGGAGGGAAAGAGGAGGCGACCAGCGAAGGAGGGGGTGGAGGACCAAGTGACCTGAGTCCACCGGGAGAAAGGAGTCAGTGATGAAGGAAAGGAGGGGGGAAATCAAAGAAGAAGAGGAAGGAAAACAGAAAAGGGGGTGAAGGCGAAGCCGGCGTCCGTCCGAGGGAGCCGCCGGGCCAGGCAGCTTCTTGGGTAGGCAGTGCCTTCTCCGCTCCGAGGTCCCTCTGGCTGCGGCTGCTTCTGCTGCTGCTGCTACCGCCGGTGGTTGCAGAGGTGACCGGCCCTCTGCTCCTGTTTATATAGCAGCGGCAGAAACCTATCTATCTGAAGATGGTTTTAGGAGAGACTTCTCTGTCAACATCCTGCCCGTGGCCCTTAAGTACAGAATATTTGGTTGCACTGTTGCGCTCATGAAATGACTTCCTCTTTTTTTTTTCCCCCCTCCTCCCTCAGTCACGCAATGACCGGGTATCAGAAAAAGACGTCAGCATCCTAGTCCCTCAAGGAACATATTAACTATTCTGTGCTGTCCTCACGGATGATGAGCTCTGGAGTCATCCACTTCCCACAAACACCTTTCACTCACACAATCCAATTTTTTTAAGACGTCCAATGATTTTGATGGTTTTTTCCAGTTTTACCCTGTCCTCAAAGATGGGTGAAGAATTAATTCATAGGGTTTCGGGCATGGTGAAAGTGATGTTTTTAACGACGACATTCCTACTATTTCTCTCTACTTTTCATCAAGCCCCCAGCAATCAGAGCTCTGGTCTCTGGAATTAAGCACCATCAAGCTCTCCTATTAATAAATTTAATTTAATCTCCTAATATCTTGCGTATGTTCTTTCAGATAGACAATTACATGGGGAAGTCGTTTTGTTTTTAAAGGGAAGTCTTGCGGGGTTTTCAGTAAATTGCTAATGAGTCTGGCTGCCGTTGACAGTCTGGCTATGAGTGGATTAATTAGAGTGAAGCTGCATCCAGAGCATGGCTCTGAGTACTGAACCTGTTTGGTCACAGATGCTATAAACATTGACAATTGCCCTGATTCCATCTTTCACCACCGCCTCTAAATCTGAGAATTCGGCAGTGGTGCTATTAATGTGGCCGTCCATTGCCCAAGTACCCCACTCCTCAGATACCGCCTCCCCTTGCAGTGTCTATAAATGCCCTTAAAGCTGAGAATGGTCCAAGCATTCTAGATTTCAGTAAAGAGCATTCTATGTCTCCTGTTAGTACTGGATTTAGAGCTCTACAGATGACCCATTTGGACACTTTCACACTTTCTGTAGCTCTTACTGATTTGAAGAATTGAAAGTGAGGATTGTGCTTTCCACAAAAATTCAAATTTTAAGGATTTTGAAGTGAGAAATGTTTTGTCCCTTTTTTTACAACATGAGTTGTAAACTGGGAAAGTACAAGGATTCCCAGTACAAGTTCACCTACTGAGGGTTTCTATCAGAAATCCCTCTGTTGGGGCTGGTTAAAAGAAAGAAAGAAAAGGAAAATTAATTGAAAATGAAATGACTCATGAAATGAGTGGGAAGAGAGAGGAAAGCAATAAGGGAAGACCACAACACCAAGAGACTTCCAAGTCCCTGGGTAACTTAAGAAGATTTGTAAATTTCTATTCCGGTGAAAGGTCTATTTCTTTCACAAAGGAAATAGAGTCATCAATAACCATTAGTGTGTACATGTTAATTATTTGGATCTCAAAAATTTGAGGAAATGGCAATTTAGTGAGAGTGTTTCCTGATACTGTGATTTGGATCTAACCTTTAAATAAGCTTTGTTAATTCTGTATGCCTTTTCTAAGACAAAATTATAAAGCTTCGTTTCAATGCCTTAATTGCTCTCTTATTTGAGGTTTTAATTCTTCCTCCAAGAAGACAAAGTTTTGCTTATTCCTCTCCATTATTGATTAGAAACTGCCACTTCCTGTTTGTTTATTCCTGGGGACGTCCCAGATTGCTTGCCTGCAATTAAGCTTCAGACCACATCTACATGGAGATGAATCTCTTTGTCTCCGTTGCATATGTTCATTGATTTATGCTGGAGTGTTAGCACGCGTGTCTTCCGTGTTCGGCTCTGCCTCTGGAGTAAGCTCGCACACAGAGTGAAAGGTGAGCACCCTTAATAACCAGGCAGATATCTTTCTCACAGAAGCGCCCAAAGCTATAACGGACTCTGGCTTTTCGTGTCTTCCGCCTTGCTTCACGTCAAAGATGAGCTCCATTAAAACCCTTACTCTTTCCTCTCACTCGAATTCTGAAATGAGTTCAATCTGTAGAAATACTTGAAAATTTCCAAGACTCCCTGTACAAATTCACTAGTCAGCTTTAGTAAAGGGAGCCACCATGTGGGGAGTTTGTTGACTTCATGGCTTATTAAAGGGGGGAAACCACAAAACCATTAACTTGAAAATTGGGGAAGACAGACCGGGGAACTGCTGGCTCCCCCCCGCCTGCAAGGCTGAAGGCACCTCTGGCTTGCAAAGGCCGTGCCACTTCCCCTCTCCTCTCAGAGGCACTCGGAGCCTGATGAAGGGAGAGACTAAGTAGAGGATTTAATTTGAGATTTTTGGTCACTGAGCTCCAGAAAAAAATCTAGCTTTGGAGACCACTCATTTCTCAGCCCAACCTAAAGTCCCATACAGCCCCCTACCACAGCTTGCTTGTGGGACAGGATCGTGCTGCTGATCTTTCCTATCTTCCCTGCCATTTATGTCTCTGATGAGGTGATTAGGTGAGTTTGGTGCCAGTAGGGAAAGGAAGCTTTCCAGTTCTGGAAAGTTCTGGCCTGGGCCAGGGGAAGTTGGAAAGGCTGAGGGAGGGAACTAGAGGCTGGAGGAACTGCAGGAGTCTGGGGCTGCACCCCTGCCTGACCAAACATTCAGGCCATTCTTGCTTTCTTTTCAGTGGAGGGAACTGCGGGGCAATTGAAGTCTCAATGACTCAAACTACCGCCAAGAACCCCTGAAGATGGGAATTTGTTTCTCAGCCAGGCTGCAGAGGCCCAGAAGCATCCATATTGTGGGACAGGGCTGTACTTACTCCAGTACAAATGCAGGCACCAACCTGGCTTCCTGAGAGGAATGGGACCTGGATTAGGGAACTTGAGGACCTCCACCGAAGTGCCCTGTGTGGGTGGAGAAAGGAGGAGGGGAGAGAGTGTGAGAGGATAATTGGGAGGGGCAGGAAAAGGGGGAAGAGCCTTCCAATTTTATCCTGTTCTTACAGGACTTCGCTCCCAAGGGGACTTTTACATCCTCCTGTAATGACTAAGGTCAAGGGCCAGAGAGAAACCTTCAGATGTCCTATATGTGCTTGAAAATGACATGGGGGGAAGAGGAACAGGATGAAGAAGGGACCAAAGAGTTGAAACTTCCTACTTATAGACAAGGCAAAGGAACTCTCCAATAGCCCCACCCCTATCCTAATGCTCCTCAGGCCAGTGGAATTCCCAGGCCATGGAAGCAGAGAACGGCATGTAACTGGGATCATGTTCAATTAGAAATGTTAGTGGAACCATGGAAATCTTCAAATTGGAAGACTTCATCCGTGTCCTCTGTCATGCCAAGGGAACTGAGGGAAGGCGTCAGTCTCCTGCTAAGGAGTGACTCAAAAGCTGCTTGGAAATACTGGCTGGAAATGATAAAGGCCCTGAATTCCAAGCCCCCAATGCATCGACCCCTTTTTACCCTGTTTGTCCTGAAGGTCAAACATTTGGTCTGAAATGATGAGTACTAGCTAAAAATCTAGCATTATTTTGTGTGGTTTTTCTTTTCTTGGTCACTGGCATATCTGTCTTCCTTGAAGTGTCAAGACTTCCAATCAACATTTGGTTTAAAGAACCCTTTAGCTTTTGAAAAAGTAGAATTTGTATTCAAACAGAAGAATATGTCCAGCATATTCACTGAGGGTTGGAACTTGCAGATGGCTTGACAACATTAGCAAATACCTGGCATAGACAAGAGCCAGTTTCCTAGGGTACCGAGATTTCTACTACTTTCCTTCTGGCCTAGCTACCCATCCTACACATAGTTTCCATGTGTCCACCTTTTTCCGCCCTTTCTTTGTGCTATGTAGCAGCTTTTTCCAATGCTGTACCATCACCACCATCACCCCCAACCCCAATACATAGGAAAAAACATCTATTATGAATATGCACATGGCATATTTATGCATTCCTAGTTTAAATAATACTAAATTGGACTGGGAAAGTCTTAGATTCTATTAATTTCTAATTAGTGCATAGCATAAGAATCAGGTTACACTCAGTTTTTTCAAGCTTGATGGAAAACATCATCCTCTCATATGAGTGACAAAAGTAAATTACAACACTATTTTCTATTTCACTCTAATCTTTTTCTCTTCTGATTCTTCCAGGAAATGTGATGACTGATG